TGGGACTGCAGAGCCCAGTGTAAAGAACAGAAGTCAATATCAAAGAGTTGTTCAGGCCCTAGAATCCAAGAAAAAGCTGTAACCTGTCAGTTGAGGCTCTGTAATTCCTTATTAGTCCCACATCTTAAGAACTGGCACCATCTTCTGGGGAGCAAGAACAATTGCTGTAGAAAATCTGCAGAAGCAGTGATTAGGAGTTGGAAAGATAGAGAACTCATGAGACGAAGCAACGCTGGAGAGAAGAAGCATGATGCTGATCAGGCTGCGGCCCATGGTGGAAGAGCAAGCCCTGACCTTGTCCCTTGACAGAACCCTACCCAGAAGAATACTGTGAGTCACAGAGAAAATACAGGTTTTCACCAGGGTGGGGAAACACAGAAAACCACGGAAGGGGGAAAGGAATTCTCTTAACTCTCCATGACCTTAGGTCTGAGTTGTCTCTGTGTTATTGTTATGAGCCTCACTACTTTTAAGAGGAGCTGATGGCCAACATATAAGGGAGAGTTATACATATACACTGAACTTATCAGGTTCATCAGTGGGACCAAATGATCCAGAAAGAGTTCGAGTCTCAGAAATAAACTGGGTCCTTCACGTGAGAAGGAAGCGTCTGACACAAGGGTTATATAGCAATTAATCTATCCAATTTACCAAAACCAAGGAATTATGCTTATCCCTCCTAGGTACTACTACAACCTTCCTGCCTGCTCTCCAGCTGGATCTTATATTTGATATTAGCTAATCAGTTCACCAGTATTTTTAGTGATGCCAACATTCTCCCTGAAATAGAGGACCATTTTTTGATGCCAATATTCTTCCATTGATGATGTATGTGCTGCAAAGCATGAGATACTATTCTCTCTGAAGAAATGAAGTTGAAAATCTCTGAAAGAACAATGATGAAGTACCTTGTGGATATAAATAGATCCGAAGTGGACCAAAGTGGTATGAAGGATGTTAGAAAAGAAATGTTAGGTTTTTTTTTTAAGTGAGGGAGGGGGAGTTGGGCTAGTCACCTAGCAAAAGAAAGGGACACCCAATGGATAGTCAATGTGATCCATTGCTATACCCATATGTCTTTAAAATATGAAGAAGGTACCTAGCACATTTGGTAGATCACATATGGGAGTCCATGTACAAAAGTCCCACAGGAAGAGTAAGGGTAGATAGATAGATAGATAGATAGATAGATAGATAGATAGATAGATAG